CCGAGTGGAGCCGGAAATACCCGAGTGAGGCCGAAACACCCGAGTGGAGCCGGAAATACCCGAGTGAGGCCGAAACACCCGAGTGGAGCCGGAAATACCCGAGTGAGGCCGAAACACCCGAGTGGAGCCGGAAATACCCGAGTGAGGCCGAAACACCCGAGTGGAGCCGGAAATACCCGAACACCTCTTGGCAGCCTTCGGGCGCTTACGCCCGTGACGGAAACACCCGAGCGGAGCCGAATCCCCCTCCCCAAGCCTGATGGGGACCCCAGGATGGGGCGGGGGGCGGCCCGAACCGCAAGATGCTCCCCGAATTCGGGGAGCTTTTCTGGACCCCTGGGTCCTCCCCGATTTTGGGGGGACGGATGCTCCTTGTCTGCACTGGGAGGGGGGCGGGTCCAGCCACAGAAGGGCGTGTCCTCACCCTGCCACGCCCCCTCTGGACCAAAGGGGCGGGGCCGGGATGGGGGGAGGGGGGTTCCATGGGTGCCCCATCGCTCCGGGCACCCCCGGCCCCCCCCCCCAGCCCTTTGCCATCCCCTGTCACCGGCTGGGAGACCCCGGCCTCTTTAACGGGCTCCTGTCCCTTTAAGATGACCTGGTTCTATTTAGGGTGGCCCTGTCCCATGAAGACGCCTCCATCCCTTGAAATGATCCCTTTGAAACGTCCCCAGGAATTTAGGATGTCCCCATCCAATTCGGGACGTCCCTGCCCCTTTAAGGTGCCCCTGTCCCCTTAAAGGATCCCTGTCCCTTTAAGATGCCCACAGGAATTTAGGATGTCCCTGTCCCTTGAGGATGTGCCCCTCCCTTCCCCACCCCCTCCTCAGTTAAGGACCCTGCCCCCTGAAGCACGCTGTCCCTTTAAGAACCCCCAGCCCCTTTTAAGATCTCCTGTCCCCCCCAATTTCGCTGCTCTGTCCCTTTAAGTGCCCCCAGCCTTGCCCCTAATTCTTGGTGTCCCCTCCACCCCTCGGACCCTTCAAATCCCCCCTGAACCTCCCCCATACCTGGACCTCCCTCCCTGGCCTTCCCTGCAGCCCCTTCCCCACGGGGGCTGCGCCGGAGCCTGGAGCCCCAGAAACCCCGGGAGAAACTCCAGGAGAAACCCCGGGAGAAAGCCCGGGAGAAAGCCCGGGAGAAAGCCCGGGAGCAGCCCTGGGAACACCGGGAGAAACCCCAGGAGAAACCTCAGCAGCCCCGGGAGCAGCCCCGGGAACCCCGGGAGAAGCTCCAGGAACCCCAGGAGAAGCTCCAGGAGCAGTCCCAGAAAAGGCTCTGGGAGCAGCCCCAGGAACCCCGGGAGAAGCTCCAGGAACCCCAGGAGAAGCTCCAGGAGCAGTCCCAGAAAAGGCTCTGGGAGCAGCCCCAGGAACCCCGGGAGAAGCTCCAGGAACCCCAGGAGAAGCTCCAGGAGCAGCCCCAGAAAAGGCTCCAGGAGCAGCCCCGGGAACCCCGGGAGAAGCTCCAGGAGCAGCCCCAGAAGCCTCGGGAGCAGCCCCGGGAACAGCCCCAGAAAAGGCTCCGGGAGCAGCCCCGGGAGCAGCCCCAAAAAAGGCTCCAGGAGCAGCCCCAGAAAAGGATCAGGGAGCACCTCGAGAAACCCCAGGAGAATCCCCAGGAGCAGCCCCGGGAGCAGCCCCAGAAAAGGCTCCGGGAGCAGCCCCAGGAACCCCGGGAGAAGCTCCGGGAGCAGCCCCAGAAAAGGCTCCGGGAGCAGCCCCAGGAACCCCGGGAGAAGCTCCGGGAGCAGCCCCGGGAGCAGCCCCAGGAACCCCGGGAGAAGCTCCAGGAACCCCGGGAGAAGCTCCAGGAGAAGCTCCGGGAGCAGCCCCAGGAGCAGCCCCACAAAAGGCTCTGGGAGCAGCCCCAGGAACCCCGGGAGAAGCTCCAGGAACCCCGGGAGAAGCTCCAGGAACCCCGGGAGAAGCTCCAGGAACCCCGGGAGAAGCTCCAGGAGAAGCTCCGGGAGCAGCCCCGGGAGCAGCCCCAGAAAAGGCTCCAGGAGCAGCCCCAGGAACCCCAGGAGAAGCTCCAGGAACCCCGGGAGAAGCTCCGGGAGCAGCCCCGGGAGCAGCCCCAGAAAAGGCTCCGGGAGCAGCCCCGGGAACCCCGGGAGAAACTCCAGGAACCCTGGGAGAAGCTCCGGGAGCAGCCCCGGGAGCAAGAAGCCCCCCGGCCCCCCCCCCCAGCCCTTTGCCATCCCCTGTCACCGGCTGGGAGACCCCGGCCTCTTTAACGGGCTCCTGTCCCTTTAAGATGACCTGGTTCTATTTAGGGTGGCCCTGTCCCATGAAGACGCCTCCATCCCTTGAAATGATCCCTTTGAAACGTCCCCAGGAATTTAGGATGTCCCCATCTAATTCGGGACGTCCCTGCCCCTTTAAGGTGCCCGTGTCCCCTTAAAGGATCCCTGTCCCTTTAAGATGCCCACAGGAATTTAGGATGTCCCTGTCCCTTGAGGATGTGCCCCTCCCTTCCCCCCCCCCCCCCCCCTAGTTAAGGACCCTGCCCCCTGAAGCACGCTGTCCCTTTAAGAACCCCCAGCCCCTTTTAAGATCTCCTGTCCCCCCCAATTTCGCTGCTCTGTCCCTTTAAGTGCCCCCAGCCTTGCCCCTAATTCTTGGTGTCCCCTCCACCCCTCGGACCCTTCAAATCCCCCCTGAACCTCCCCCATACCTGGACCTCCCTCCCTGGCCTTCCCTGCAGCCCCTTCCCCACGGGGGCTGCGCCGGAGCCTGGAGCCCCAGAAACCCCGGGAGAAACTCCAGGAGAAACCCCGGGAGAAAGCCCGGGAGAAAGCCCGGGAGAAAGCCCGGGAGCAGCCCTGGGAACACTGGGAGAAACCCCAGGAGAAACCTCAGGAGAATACGCGGGAGCAGCCTCAGAAGCCCCGGGAGAAACTCCAGGAGCAGCCCCACAAAAGGCTCTGGGAGCAGCCCCAGGAACCCCGGGAGAAGCTCCAGGAGCAGTCTCAGAAAAGGCTCTGGGAGCAGCCCCAGGAACCCTGGGAGAAGCTCCAGGAGCAGCCCCAGAAGCCTCGGGAGCAGCCCCGGGAACAGCCCCAGAAAAGGCACCGGGAGCAGCCCCGGGAGCAGCCCCAAAAAAGGCTCCAGGAGCAGCCCCAGAAAAGGATCCGGGAGCACCTCGAGAAACCCCAGGAGAATCCCCAGGAGCAGCCCCGGGAGCAGCCCCAGAAAAGGCTCCGGGAGCAGCCCCAGGAACCCCGGGAGAAGCTCCGGGAGCAGCCCCAGAAAAGGCTCCAGGAGCAGCCCCGGGAACCCCGGGAGAAGCTCCAGGAACCCCGGGAGAAGCTCTGGGAGCAGCCCCGGGAACAGCCCCAGAAAAGGCTCCGGGAGCAGCCCCGGGAGCAGCCCCGGGACTGGCGGGCGTCGCGGCCGGGCCGCAGCCGCGTTCCGGGCCGGGACCACCGCCGCTATTACCACGAGCGCTGGCGCTCCGAGTACCTGATGGAGTTCAACGCGGCGCGGCACGGCATGCGCTGCCTGGTGTGCGGCAGCGCCCTGGCCACGCTCAAGCTCAGCACCATCAAGCGCCACATCCACCAGAAGCACCCCTACTCCGGAGCCTGGGGGCCCCGAGAGAAGCAGCTGGTGCTGCGCTCCTGGGACGCCCACCTGGGACAGAGCCCCCGCCCCGAGGGACCCCCCGGCGGCGCCCACGGGACAGGTACGGGCGGGGCTGGGCGTGGGGAAGGTGGGGCACGGCGGCTTTAAGGGGTGTGGTGTCCCTTTAAATGGGGCCACGCCCCTTTAGAGCAGTTCTGTCCCTTTAAATGTGGCCACGCCCCCTTAGGAGAGGCACTGTCCCTTTAAATGTGGACATGTTCCTTAGGAGCAGCTCTGTCCCTTTAAATGTGGCCACGCCCCTTTTAACTTCAGGCCGCACTCATTGGATGCAGTCCTACATTGACCACGCCCTCTTTGGCTGTAGCCCCACCCCTTTCCGTTAAAGCCATGCCCCTTTAAGCTCTCTGTGCATCCCCTTTAAATGCCACGCCTCTATCTGACCACACCCCCTCACCAAGTCACGCCCCTTTAAAGGGACACTGTCCTTTTAAGACCGGCCCCACCCAGACCACACCCAGTCCCTCAGCCCCGCCCCTTTCTGTGGCTCCTCCCATGACCGCAGCGGGGACAGGGGACACGGAGGGGACAGGGGGACATGGCAGAGACAGGGGGACATGGCAGAGACAGGGGACACGGCGGGGACAGGGGACACGGAGGGGACAGGGGGACATGGCAGAGACAGGGGGACATGGCAGAGACAGGGGACACGGCGGGGACAGGGGACACGGAGGGGACAGGGGGACATGGCAGAGACAGGGGGACATGGCAGAGACAGGGGACACGGCGGGGACAGGGGACACGGAGGGGACAGGGGGACATGGCAGAGACAGGGGGACATGGCAGAGACAGGGGACACGGCGGGGACAGGGGACACGGAGGGGACAGGGGGACATGGCAGAGACAGGGGGACATGGCAGAGACAGGGGACACGGCGGGGACAGGGGACACGGAGGGGACAGGGGGACATGGCAGAGACAGGGGGACATGGCAGAGACAGGGGACACGGCGGGGACAGGGGACACGGAGGGGACAGCCCCGGGGAGCGGGGACAGGGGACACGGAGGGGACAGGGGGACACGGAGGGGACAGGGGACACGGCAGGGACAGGGGGACACGGCGGGGACAGCCCCGGTGAGCGGGGACCGGGGACACCACCAGGAAATGGGGACAGGGGGACACAGAGGGGATGGCCCCGGTGAGAGGGGACACAGGGGGACACTGGGGACAAAGGGCCACCCCCAGGGCCACCCCCAGTGACAGGGGACAGGGAGGGTGTGGGGACATCGGGGACATGGGGACGCTGGGCTGGGTGGCACCTGGGGACAATGGGGGACACCGAGGAGCTGGGGGCTGCTGGAGGCTTTGGGGACACCGGCAGGGGTGGGGACACGTACTGGGGACACCGCGGCACGTCCCCGACTGGTGGCAGGGCAGGGGGACAGGGAGGTGACAAGAGGTGACAGGAGGTGACACCGCTGTCCCCCCCAGCCCTGCCAGCCCCCAGCCCCGAGGAGGAGGAGGAGGAGGAGGAAGAGGCCGCAGGGGGGGTGGGGGGCACAGGAGCCCCCCCCGCCTGAGCCCCCCGGGATGGGGACACTGCGGGGGGGAGGGGACAACAGGGGACACCCCACGGGGGCAGTGGGGACACCAGCGACCCCACCAATGTCCCTTGGCCTG